TATTCTTTACACATTATCCAATTTTTTCAAGCATTATCCATTTTTTTAAGAAATCAAAAAGATAGCAAATAATACTTTATAATTAATCATCTAAAACATCTCTTACACATTATCCATTTTTTTAAGCATTATTCATTTTTTAAGAACTCAAAAGGATGGCAAATGACAAGGACGATGATTTTTTCCCTAATGGCTCAAAAAGATAGTATTAGTCCAAAACCAGGCACCTTGTTTTTTTTTTTTTTTTTTAATTAGGCTCAGGCCATGGCAAAACCAAAGCAAACCGTGTCTAAAGAACGTTATAGATGAATGAATCTTTTTAATTATTTTCTCAGAAATAGAAAGAAATTTGGAGTGGAATTGGCACTAAAATATTTCACTAAATTTAAACGATAAAAAATCTAAAATATAGAGAAATTTGAATATAGAGGGATTTGGAGTAGAATTGGCACTAAAACATTTCACCAAATTTAAATGATAAAAAGGGAAATATCTGAAATGCAGAGAAATGTGGAGTAAAATATGTAAACTGATTTTTTAATGTTTTTGTGAGGGATAAAGAGAAATTTGGAGCATAATTGACACTGAAATGTTTAGCTAAATTCAAAGGAAAAAATTTGAAATCTAAAGAAATCTAGAGTAAAATCAGTGAGATAATTTTTTTTAATCATGTCACGTCTATTCAATTGGAGATCACCACATCCAATACAAAAGATATCATTATTATTATACTATTAAAATTAAGTAATAAACAAATAATGCACACAAACAATAACAGTAGGTTTGTCTAGAAAACATCAAATAAGTGTCCAATGAAAAGATCCTTTATTTTTTCTTTTAATATAAATAGAAAATATGTATAATAAAATTTACAAATTTGGAACAAAATTCATGCTAGGATTTTATTGTGACATTATATGATTGTTCAAACACTAAATTAAATTTGAATAAAGAAGGAAAGGAGAAAAGCGAGATGGCTTTGATACCATAATTTTTATAACTGAAAAGTTTGAAAATATTGATATGGCCTTTGTGGAGGAGAAACGATGGAAACAAAAATTAAACTAATATAAATAAATCTGGTAAATGCAAGGAACTATAGCAGAATGAAGCATGAACAATAAATCATCAATTAAAGATCTATGGAGTATAACACATTTTGGAAGTTGAACCCCACTTACTGAATACAAAGTACACTACTCCTGTTATAAGATCAAGAAGAGGAATATAATATAATGTCAAAATGGCTCTGTGGAAGCAAATCACAGCTGTGTCAAAATTGCCCCGACATTGGAAGGAAATCATGATTCAGCCGACAGAACACCAGGGGAGACGACGCGGCACTGTTCCTCAACCTTCCGCTCTTTTAATAGGTAGGATTTCCAGTCAAGATCAAAACGTACAATGTCTGGGAACTCTGTCAGCAACCTGGCAAGAGAACCTACAATTCATTAAGATCAGGTTCAAGGCAGCACCTGTGCTTTCTTCTTTCTTCAAACTATATTAACTAAAAAGGGTACTTGGGAAAAGGCAGCACATGATGGTGCTTGCAGATTCACAACCGTTCAGGTACTTCGTCCTTTAACTCAAAGGCTTCTTTGTTCTTGATTTTCCATCATACTATTAGCCTTTGCTCCAGAATATGCACTCCTTGGAATCTCAACCAAGGGTTCCTTCTCTGCTATGTCATCTTAATCTTCGACTTGTTGATGTTCCTGAACCTCTAAATAAAGATATATAATGAGATACACAGTAACCATTTGTGACGATCCCACCTCCCCCTAAGGCGTACCAAAGGGTTTGGCGGACCGCCTGCCCAACTCTCGCCAGGACTCACTCACTAGCTCACGCGAATCACGTACATACACATCCACCATGAACCATAAATAACATTCCCAATTCAAGCTTATAACATACAAGGATAGGAATCAGGGTACAAAGTCTCGATATACTCAAACTAGTTCAAAGCGTATACAATCCCAGTACAAAACAATCCATTCGAGGAATAGCACGAGTACAAGTCAAAATTCAAAACAAAATCAAGAGCAACTAGACTACGCTAGCCTTTACACGTCTCACGCTTCGCTCGTACCCCTGTAAGGAAAACAAACTAACGGGGTGAGCCAAAGCTCAGTGAAGTTCCCAAATATCAAATTGGTCAACAAATCAAGTGATAACAAAGTAATAGTGAAATAGCGAGCAACAAGTCAAATCAGGAAAATAGTACTTCAGCTAGCCAAGTAATATCAGGTTCACATTCACATGTAAGGATACAGTAACCCATATCACGGCTCCATTCCAGCTTGGTCAAGTGGTAGTTGACACTCCGCCAACTTTCAAGTCATAACAAGTCCAAAATAAAACTTCACTACACGCCAATCTCCGTTCACCAATCAACCCCCTTTCCCGGGCACGCACGCCACACGAAACACGGGTGGTAATACTCGAGTATACCGTTTAGTCGAGGAAATAGCACTCCACTCGACATTACTAGTGACCCAGAGTTCGTTATCTAATCGACCAGACCCTTGCCGGCTCGACTCGATTAACTAGCCACAGGGTTTCTGGAATTCCAGACAAGACATATCTCAAGTACAGGTAGAGCAAGTCAAGTGTAATCAATAGCAAGAACAAGTCATATTAGGACAAGTGCGGTAAAGTACATCCTTGCCTTATCATTCATTTTCATGTAATCATACAAGTCAAGTAATGAACACATGTATCAAGTACAATCGGATATTTGGAAGCACTCACCAAAATATAGTGCTTCAAGTATTCACGTTTAATTATACTCCAGGCTTGGAGTCCAGATCTGCGATAAAAATTCAGTTTGAGAACTTTGAAACACGAGTAGGATTCGAAACTTAAACGTTTCGTTCATTAAGAATTGACCAATTGAAATTCATTTGATAGACATTCGTGAAACACTTGCTCGCTTTTCAAATCGTAAGGTTTTGTAGCATATATACTTGGAAATAACACTCGAGTTGAAAGTACAAGGAAATACAAGTTTACATTGACCCTTATGTCTTTTCCTCAAGGGTACAAGTTCGACTAGGTTTTACCATATAACCCTCGATCCAAGATAGCCAAAGTCCTAGGTGGCTCAAGTACTATTCATCTCAACTCGTCCCAAGTCGCAAATGTATTTTTGTAGTCTTCGAACGTAAATTTGGGCAGCATGCCCTTTGTGTTTACCTAATTTCCAGCCATTTAGGCTTCAATTCTTACTCAATCCAACCCAACGTCATCCATAACATAATTTCAGTTCATTAGCCATTCCATAGGCTCAAAACAACACAAGAGCAAAGATTAAGCTAATATCAAGTGCGGAAATGAAACTTATCAAAAGACAGTTTTGACGGGTTTTGCGGAAATAACACATCCGAGGCTACGTTTATCGGATTGATACGTAGCTTATACCATTTCGAAGCTAAGACGAAGGCCTACAACTTTCATGAAGAGCACTCAGTCAAATTTTCAATGTAACCTGATCAAATTCCCAACTCACGTAACCTGGTTTCAACTATTCGGCTAATCAACCGCACTGCACTCAAATGACCATAACTCAGTCTACCGAGGTCCGTTTAAGACGTTCTTAGTGGCGTTACAAAGCTAAGACAGGGCACTAAAACTTTCATGTTTTAATAAATGACTAAATCCAAACTGATTATAGTGAATAAACTCAATCAAAAGGACTGAACTGTCCACGCGGAACTCTGGAAAGTGACCTAGATCAGCGAGGGTATTTTCATCTTTTCACAAGCTACGTTGCTCCGATTGAGCTGAAAGTTTGTAGGAAGCTATAAAATACCATTCCCTGCAACTTTCATGTTTTGACCTAAGGTCAATTTGGCCTCTAACATGGAGCAACAAAAACGGGCAGAAAGGGGGGAAATTTTCCAGAAATCTGGAATTTGTTGATCTTCAATGAAACTTTCTCAAATTTCTTATTCCAATCACTACCAAAGCCCCTTATATAAACTTATATTCAACATATGCAACTATACAACAAGTGTAGACAGAATTTAATCAAACCCTAACTTGTTTATTTCATCCAATGATCATCACAACCACTTGCACATCTTGAAATCAAGCCAACACTTAAGCTAAATGACATCTTAACACAAGATTTAAAAGATCAAGGACCATGATCAGATTTAATACCTCAAAGACAAGTTTGGATGAGTGATAATCCACCTCCTTTGAAAATTTCTGGTTCCTCTAGCTTCCCCTACTCACAATTAGCACTTTAATCGGTTTGGAATCGATTTTCTCACTTGGTTTGGCTAAGATTCAAGAAGAAAGAAGTTGTTTTCTTGCTCTCACTTTCTCTCTCTCTTTGGTCGGCTCTTCAGCAGAAAAATGAAGAGAAAAGGTGCAATTTGGGGGGATAAGAAGGAAGACTAATGTCTTGGTCAAGAAACACTTGTCGCCACCACCACCTTTCATTTTTCTCTTTCCTTTTCCTTGTTATTTTAGCCTCAATTTTCGGTCAAAGGCAGCTGATAATTAAGAAGATATTTTGCTCAAATATCAATGAGCTTGTATAGTAAGAAAGTGGTGGTCAAGTGATGCGTTCAATCGGTAGTGCGCGGGACCCGCCGGTTCGCGCCGTTTTTCTTAAAAACACACGTACTAGGGTTTTTACTTCTTATTCACCAACCTTATCTCATTGCTCCTAATCACATATTATTTCTCACTTAAAAGTCACTTTTAATCACCAAATTTGATCCTTACTCCATACCGAAAATTCATCCAGCGAAAAATCGCGAAAACCCTAATTTGCCCCAATCTTGGAAACGAAGAGTGAAACCCTATTTTCTAGGTTCATCTGCACTTATTGTTGAACAATTGGGTAGCAGAGCTTTAATAAATAGTAATTTTCAAATAAAAGGCATTTTTTTTGAGAAAAATATAAAAAATTTGCGGGTCCTCACACCATTAGCAGGGGTAAGAGGGTAAGAGCAGTGAACCAAGATAAATATCTAGGTCTCCCTATGGTGATCACCAGAACAAAAGGACAGGCATTTGGGTTTGTAAAGGATAGCATCAAAGCTAGACTAAACAGTTGGAAGAACAAGTTCTTAAGTACAGCAGGCAAGGAGGTGCTGTTGAAAGCAGTTACTATGGCCATGCCAACTTACACTGTGTCATGTTTCAAGCTACCAATTAAGCTATGCAAGGAAATCGCAAGCCTGATGGCCAAATGCTGGTGGGGTGAATATGAAGGGAAAGATAAGGTGCACTGGTGTTCTTGGACAAAAATGATGAAAGCAAAAATGGAGGGAGGACTGGGATTCAGGAACCTGCAATGCTTCAACAAAGCACTACTGGGAAAACAGATTTGGAGACTGATAAGATACCCAAACCTCCTGGTTAGCAGAATACTGAAAGCTAAATACTACCCCAAGAACTCCATACTACACTGTGAGTCCCCCAAAAACTCATCCTGATTTTGGCAAAGTATTATGTCTGCTAGGGAGATAGTTAAGAGAGGGATATTGAAAAGAGTTGGATCAGGAAAGAGTATCAAAATCTGGATGGACCAATGGATCCCAAATAGTCCAAATGGGAGGCCAACAACATGTAAACCAGACAATTGGGAGGAGCAGAGAGCGGAAGAGCTAATCACCAACTTCAGATGGAACAAAAATGCAATTTTCAGGATATTTAACAAAGACGATGCTGAGAATATACTGAAGATACCCATCAGTCTATCAGGGGTTGGGGACAAGCACTTTTGGATTCATAACAGGCAAGGGGAGTACTCAATGAAATCTTGCTATCAAGCTTTGCTAAAGGAAGAAAAAAGCAAGGAACTGGAGGCAAAAGGGGAATCGGGGTCTAGCTATGATGATTCGAATACACAAATGTGGAAGACTCTTTGGGGGCTAAATGTCAAACACAAGATCAAATTGTTCATTTGGAGATGCATCACTAACACTCTTACAGCCAGAGAGACAATATTCAGGAGAACAAAACAAGGGTCTCCCTTTTGTTCAAGGTGTGGAGACAAGGTGGAAACTGTGGAACATATCCTGTTCCACTGCTCACAGGCTCAGCAAGTATGGAAAATAGCTCCTGTGCAGTGGGATGGCATCCAGAGTCTAACAGGATGTTTTAAACAGTGGTGGGCAACTAGTACAAGCTAGGAGTAGGTACAAGGGGAAGCAGCATCTAGCTCTAACAGCAAATATACTCTGGCAAATATGGAAGGATAGGAATGAGCTGGAATTTGAAGGAAAGGACAGAGAAGGAGTTAGAATTATACAAAAAGCTAGCACATAATGGATGGAGTTTGAGGATGCTGGAAAAGGCAAGGAAGATAGAAGCATAGCAGAAACAGATGAAGCAAATGCAAGACTGGAGGATGAAGTGATAGAAGATAGTGAACTAATAGAAGTCTAGATTGTTACTAAGAAAGCTGAAGAGAACCATAAGCTAGGAATCGGCATCGTGGCTAAACAGAAGGGAGGAGGAATCAGAGCTGAATGGGCACTAACTGATAGAAGCTCATCAGTGGACATTCAAGATGAAGCTATAGCAGTGAGGTTGGCATTAATGAAAGCAAGTCAGCTGAGATGGCAGAGGATTAAAGTCATGACTACAAACAAACACCTCAAAGCCTTGCTAAATTCTGGGACAGGAGATAATCCAAACATGGTTACGTTGGTGGAAGATATACTTGCTCTAGCTAAACTGTTTCAACTGTGCTCCTTTGCTGTAAGGAATATTAGTTACATGAATCAATGTAGTCAATTTAGTCTTCATGCTCTAAGCATATGTATGGATGAGGAGAGAACTTTTGTTGCTCCTTAAATGTCATGATACACTTTGTAGAGCTGCTTGAGCCGTTGCTCACATATTGTAAAGTTTCAGCTTATATAAAATACCATTTAACGTTTCCGGGAAAAAAAAAAGAGATACACAGGAACCTGATAAAAAGCTAATCATTATAAATGTAATTTCCAAAAGGAAAGCCTCTTGCTTGCTATCAATTGTGTCACGCTTTTGAGGATCTTTCGATTTCTTCATTGCAGCCTTAAGTTCTCTCTTTGCATTTGCTCTCGTTATACATCGTTCCACACATTGTGCAGCAGTAACATCTGCATGGCAAGCAACGCAAAGGGTCCGCACATTCTCTAGTCTGCATTCACGTGTACAAAACCACGAAGTACAGCTTATATTAAGAAACTGGAGCACCAGTTTTCTTACAAAAGCCAGAGAGGTTGATGATGCTCATAAGCAATAATGCTTAGAAATTTGAGGATCAAGTACCTCCTCCTTGATATACAGGTACAAGATGGTCTGCATGCCATGCATTGCCCTCCATGGGATCTTGAACAAGCTTGTCAAATCTGCTGAGAAAAATTGAGATATTATCACGAGAGAATGCAACTGCAGTACTAAATCAGAACAAAGAATTGTACACCACAAGTAGGAAAGGGTTCAACATAATGCTAAGTTGCCTCTTATTGAGGATTCTATACTTCATATGTAATTTAAGGACTCCATTTTTTTTGTTGTCAATCTGCTATTTGTTTCTAGCACACCTCCCCATCATTGAGATGCTTCTTAGGTCTAGGAAATTATAATATCTTCCACATGATAGACAGTCCAAGTTTTTTGGTGAGTACTAAATAGCATTACCGCTCAGATAATATGCATCAACAGATATGTTCCTGCTGCTGAGTGTATACTTTGTTTTTGTAATGATTTTCTAATAGCTTTTGATGATTTAACACCCCCCCCACCACAAAACCCGGCATCGGCAAAGAAAGAGAGAACCAAGAGAACTCTAAGGATCAGAAAATTTTGTCTGACAAGCTACATATAGTGCTTAAGCATGAGAAGTTGGCAGGCATAATTATCTGATTGTTATGTGCTACAAGACTTAACTGCAAAGAGTTCAAGAGAACGCGTAAGAGAAAATTACACCTATAATCTACTTTAAAAAGTTGGTTCAAAATAACTTGCATAGTAACTCGCAGCTTTTGTGCTTTGCTAACTTTGGAGCTGCTACTCTTATATACTGTTGTTGATTCTCATTTGATAGAGGTCTAATTTTCTCCACAAGTCCATGGCAGTCTAGTTGACACATGGTGCAAATGCCACATTCGACTTGGAAAAGTGTCTACAGAAAATTTCATAGTAAGAGACAACCAAAAGTTAGCTTTTACGTAGGACAGAGTTCAGACTGACCTCTCTAAGGTATTTTGTTTTGGTTCTCGAGCTATATTCTACATAGGATTCCAGGTTACAGAAAAGATTCTCAAAATATTCAGACCTCTTAGCATTCTCATTCCTAAACAACAAGAGCTTTGATGAGTGCATGAACCTTTCTTGAGAAGGGCCAGTTAGCCACGAAACTTACACGCAAGGGCTTTGGCAGAACTTGCAGAGCGGTTTGTCCTCAGTAGACCACCCTTGTGTGTAGACTTTCTCCTTTTTAGTGTGGCCACTGCGTAGATGGACCTTTCTCAGAACTGCATTCGATGGTTAGTGGCTGTTTATCTCATCCAAATGTGTAATACATCTGGTACTTCGACACTTAAGCAGTCCCTGACAAAGATAACCAGTTTGTTAATTGAAAAATTCATCCAAATTAAAGTTCAAAATAATACAGACCAGAGTCAAAAACCACACTTATCACAAATATACCCCTATATCATGGCTGAGGGATTCCATCAGATAGCACAGTTCAGTGGACAAGGGCAGCTGCAAAGGCTTCACCAGCAATTTCCTACGTTCTATAGGCCTCAAGTGGTTCCATTGTTTCATAAATAATATGAGTGCAGATTGGTACCTTTGAACATCCTGTCTACAATTTTTTCCCTTTTTCATAGCATCCTCATAAAGGTCTTCTGACTCAAATTCTTCAGGCCTGAAACTCAAAAAAAGTGGTCGTGGCCTTGAATCTATTCCAGGTATGCAAGAATATAAGTGGATCCTTCCAGTATATTGGCTCACCTGAACAAGAACAAAAAGAAATCAAGGGAGCGTTGTACAAAGTTTAGTAGAAAATACAAAAACAAATTATTTATGCCATCTTTTGGGGTTCAGTGTTCTTGTAAATAAGTTCTAAGTTGCATGATGTTGTCAGAGAAAGAAAGAAAAGCAGTTATTTGCCTGGCAGAAATGAATATGGAGGTAATCAGGATTTTCTGCATCTATGAATAACAGAAATCGGCGCGGGGCTGTAGTAGGTGGCATCTCTGCCAAAAAAACCATTGCATTTGAGGTTGTAGACCATAAGATGTTTAAGAGAAGCTTCAAGCATATAGTGATTTGGGATTAAACAGATTGACTTAAGCATATCATATTCTCAAACAGAACCTATGGAAAAATAGAAAAAAGTTAAATGTACCATCAAGCATAAATAAGCAGTTAACTTCAATCAGTGAGGAAGAAAACAAAAAAGTCAGTCAAGATTACCTCAAACCGGAGATACTCTACTTGTACAGCGCTTGTTAAAGCAGCCTCAATTGCCCCAGAGGCATTGCTGTCTAATTCTACTCCACTTTCTTGGTTCCCTTGAATTCTTAACTTGTAAATTCTAAACAGATTCCCAGTTGCAACACAAAAAGAATAAGCAGCAGACAAAATTGACTGTACCTCCTCATCTTTATCGGTTGCTTCGCTATCCTCTAAATTATATGAAGAAATTGTTCCAGCAGTTCCACTGATAGCTCTAATTGAAAATGCATTGCAGCCCAAGGTTGGACAAGCCTGCTTTGGTCATCTCATGTGAACTCTCAGCAGATTCGCAAATGAAAGCAAAATGGCAGAAAGCTAGCACCAGGAGAAGTTAACTAGAGAGACAATGTAACAAAAATGTATACCTCTGACTGAAGGCTTACCACCTGAGATGATACAATACCAGTTCCATTCTCCCCCCCTACTCCCTTTGTTTGCCATTTTATAAGAATTGCAATATTGATCAGAAGGCCATGACTTTGGTGTATGACAGTAAATCTGGGGTATCACGACATTTTCAGCACAAGCCTCATTGTTTCCTTCGCTCTGCATAACTGAATTGCCATTTTTCTCATCTGTTACTCCGGTTGTTTCAATATTGGAAATCATTTCAACTTGTGTAGTGCATGCAGTATCCCATTATGAGTGCTGGACATGACATCAAATTCCACAGCAACTTTACCATAAATTTTAAATAAATTGTGAGCCATTATGACAACACAGCAAAACGGACATGGTTGCATTGAGGTCGAGTAGCATAAACATCATAGCAAACAGATCATGATCTCTGGAGATAAAAGCAAACTACATGACTTGCTGTGAGCAATTTTTGAAATTAACATTGTGATATACATCTTTACGATTCTTTGCTTTGCCCTTTAACTCAAACTACACGTATTGCTGCAATAGTAGAGTTAAAATTCAAGCCGTTCCCTTTTTGGGTTATACGGCCAGAATACTTCTTACAGGACATTAAAAGAAGTAAAAAGGTGAAACTGAAAAATGCAATGGAAGCATGAATAAAAATTGCTAAAAGATAAAAAAAATTAAATCTAATCCAAAACAAGCACAGGAAACAAGATTCTCTCTCTTTCTCCCCCAATCTTTGTACCTGGTGAGAACATGTAAAAGCACATGCTCAGAACCAATTCTTTTGTACTTACTACACCCAAATTTTAGCTCTCCAACTTAGATACTACTTGTTCAAATTCAAGGAATATTCTGAGTGATTTAGCTGCAAAAGAAAAAGAAAAAAATAGAAAAAAATGCTAGAGAGTTGCACATAATGACTCGACAATGTTCTAGATTTGAAAATGAGGGTTCCAGATTGTGAATGGCTAACGTAAATTCAGTTTTGTTGTCGAATTACAGTAACTTAGAACATTGTAATTGTTCGATTACAGTAACAATGCTGTTCAATTACTTCATTGTAATTGTTCTCCTCATAATTGTAGTTCTCTCCCTGTTAGCCTAAGGGTGAATTGGTTTCAAGTCTTACAGCCTTCCAGACTTCAAAATATGATTGATTAACATCAGGTAAGATAAAAACATTTAGAAACATAAACACCTATGTTAGAATAAATTGAGAGATCAATTCTAATAATCACTATAACCAGGGCCTAAAGTATTATAGAGAACCCCATGATAAATTTTAAATCACGGACGCTTGTCAACCATGAAAAAGATTTACCTGTAGGATGCTAGATCACTTAACTGATAGCCCATAAACGTCTCTATGACTTTCAGCATCAACATCAAACGAAGAATATCCTATATCAAAATAACAACGGGAAAATGACCTTGATTTCAGATATTGCAGCATGTTTCCCATTCATTACAGCCAAAACTTCAAACAGACTCTTAATCAACTTTTGCCACTGAGAGATTCATCTGAAGTACCCTGAATACAAGCAAACCATCAGTAGTTAAAAAAAAAAAAAAAAATCTCTGCCACATTATAGGAAATCATTTTTTAAAGAAAAAGGGAAAGAAAACAAAACTACCTTCGCGCAAAAAATGTATATTTTGACTGCTTTCATCTGTCCAATCCTATGAGCTCTAGATTCGGCCTATGAACAAACAAGAACCAAGAAACCAGAGCAATAGAATATTACTATAAAATCACCAACTCAAACTAAAGGTCGAGCATCTCCAACCCCTCCAGAATAACCCTTTCCATAATACAAGTCACAGAAAAAGAAATAATGAGAAACTAGCATGCGAAGTGAGAAAAAACAGAAGCAGATTGGCACATTAAAAGAAATATATACTGAAATGGTTGATAAGGAGCAAATACGAGTTGGTTTTCAATATACACCACTAGAGGTACACAACTTATTTGCATTGGCAAAGTCCTAGAAGAAGTCATGCTGAACTAACAGTAGTGATTGGCAAAGTGATTCATACCAATAATGAAGACATAGTTATTGACACGGCAACAAAAAGATTTATCACCCTCTCCCCCAACATCATAGTGACCTAAGAATAAAAACCCAAAATTAAAAAGGAAACAACTTATGGAAATGCAGGGCAAGTATCCAATAAAAGCATGAGAAAACTGAAAAAGCGATTATATACCCAATAGGGTGCTTCAACGAACATCTTGAATAGGTTCAGGTCCTTGCTGCACTTTCTAGAAGTGAACTGTATTCAGGTAATTCAGCTATTTCAAATGACTTTTCTGGTTTTGGCGAATAAGGAACCTTTTATCATTTGCAGTTGGTTCATTGTTTGTTAAGTTAATTATCCTCCTGGTAATCAAGAGAAAAATCTTAGTCAAGGCAGGAAAAAGTTTGCGAAGCCATGGATGATGTACTTCTTTTCAAAGAGAGGCTTCAGCTTAAAACAACTTCTACAGACTTTTTTGAGTCTTTTTAAGAGTTGTAAGATGCAAGCTTGCCTTATTTATGATGCCTAAAGGTGCCTTAGATCTGATGCAACAAGTTATTCTGGATGAATCCTGGACTCTCCTGATTCAGACTTCTTCCTTCAAGTTCAGAGGATGTTTTTACTATTTCAGCCTTCATTTACTGCCTAATTGTTAATTGCTGTGTTTTCAAATCTTTAACAAATTATTCTGCAAGCCTTTTGGGCTACCACCAGCTTGTGATGCGTCACCATTGTAACCAAATAGCAAAATCAACATATATGAGAACATTATAAAGGTACATGGACTGTAGTATACAAATTAGAAAAGAAGTCAACTATGGGGTCTGTAGTATAAAAATTAGAAAAGAAGTCAAATATGGGGTACTATTTAGCTTTCTGTACAAGTCTAAGACTCAGATATTAAAAAAAAAATTAACTTGATATCTAAAAGTAGCTGCATAGGGAAAAGTAAGCAAGTGAAACTCTGCATTAAAAACATTAAATACGTTCATCTGATTGGACAAGCAAATTTGTCAAAAGGAAAGCTCTTTCTTTGTGTTTCACTTTCGGAAAAGGAAATGAAAATGGATGAACCAATTGGTAAGAAACCATCAGTGTCTGTTATTTTTGTTCTAGATATACTGAGAGACAAGATATTGAATAGAAACTGCAAGCATGCCAACAGATTAAAGTCATCAACTGATCTTGGCCTAACTGCAGGAAATTTGGATGGCTAGATCTAAGAAGGTTTTCCATAACTTACCTGGTTCAAGCTAGAGATTTCCTTGGGCAACTCCAAGAAAACAACATTTTTTGCTGCTGTCAATGTAAGTCCGAAGCCTCCAGCTGATATTCCAATGATAGCAATCTTAACCTCAATCAAATGCAATAAAAAGTGTATGATACAGCAAGCACATGGGCTTTTCAGGTCTATAGACAGATGCAGGTAACTGGTGTATTTAAGTAAAAAACTAAGCCAGCAAAAACTTGAAGCACAAGCTCCAGCAGCACTACTCAGATCAATGAATCAAACGAAAGTGGTTTTCAACATTACAAAGAACTGGCAAAGGCAATATAATGTGACAACTTTGTCAATACATGCTGAACCCTCCAAAAGGCACACATAAACCAAAAAAAGTTGGGCAAGCAATATTGACCTGTTCTGATGATTGAAAGGATTGAATAGCTTCCTTCCCAATAAACAATACATGTGCATCAATTCGAATATATTCGATGCCTTTCTCTAATAGAAACTCCTGCAATTTGCATAACTTGAAAATGAAGTATGAGCTATATATACCGGATTACTAAAAGACCAAAAAACATTGAATACCTGTACGCCCATTCAATCCATACAAGAAGCTAGAATGGTAAACAAGAAATTCTAAGGGTCTCTAACCATCAAACTAGTGGCCCACCTCCAAGATCAAGAATGTCACAGTTACAATCCTGTGCTTTAACTTGATAACTACCAAGGATCTTTAATATTTCTACTGCTGCTTTTATATTTATTATCATATCCAGTTGTTGTTTTAAGACTCCTAGGTACTATTTTTACAGGGAGAATATCTAATACTTTGACTTTCCAAAGCAACGTTTGCATTGAACATGTTTAGCTGACTAATTGCATCAACCATTCAGTTGTGATGTTACCCAAGACAGGTCCATTAATATGCAATGGAATGACTTTAAAAGATGTCATCGTAGGTCATCAAACTATGACTCCCTCCTTTTGTTACTTCAAGGAGCCTTATTTGGAACTAAAAGTTGTAAAGGTTTTCTCTCACTTAGCCATAAGGCATCATCCCATTAATTCTCAATATCAATTTGGAGTTTCTCAAGTTTTTTTGTTCTTGCACTTCTTCAAATTTCTGCAGAGATCGGAATTTTGTTACGAATTCTGATGAAATAAATATCCATTGTTACACAAAGCACCCAAAGCAAACTGTCACATGACTCACATCTGTGTTTCACAGAGACCAAAATCTAAAAATTGTCAGAACTTTAAACTTGACAAAAGCAGAAACATCTTAATCAGAAGCAAGTCACAACTATATTTATAAAGAGAATACAGAAAACAAATGTAAGCCTTCAATATGTAACAAGGGAAAGTAACTGACCTGTATTCTGTCATACACAATATTATGATGAGCGAATATTGTCATTTTTTGTGAACTGACAGTAGCTTCTGTAGCTTCCTTGCCATCAAATCCTGAAAGCATTGGATGTATAGAGAGGCACTCAAGGAATCCCAATAGTTTTGCTAGACCCAGTATTTAGTCTTCCTTTTTCATCATGTCTCGAATGTTGCTTTTATCTGAAAACATTTAGAATAGGGACCGCAACTCATCACTTAATAACCAACAAATTTGTAGTGCATTGTATATCAGATGCTTCTCTGAGAAAGCAGAACTGATGTAATGATCTTTGTGGACATCATTTACTTGGAATTCTAGGCCAACATTCATAATGAATGCCAGTGGATGTGCAGTTCTTAAGGATGCTATGGTGCCGTGCAGTTAGTTGATTCCCACCTTTGTTACTCACAGCCACTCAGAGAACTTCAATCTCCTGAACAATCTTCAGACTCAGAATCTTAGCAACATATGGAACTGCATTTTAAACCATTGACAATTTATACATCCAGTTATAAATTAAGCTCCACTCTGGCTTTTAAATGATGTCGTCTAATGAATACCCAACACCAAAAGTTACAGATAACCCTTGCAAGATATCACAGAGCTTTACTTGTGATCAAGGGTTCAAGCAAAGCATTGCTTAACAAAGACGCAGGATTTCAACAAGTAGCCTATTAAGCGTCAAAGACAGCAGCAGTTAAGTATTTGTCAACAAAAGAGAAAGAACTATGTACAAGATGCTTTACTAGAATAGAGACTCGACCTTATAAAGATTAATGCAACCAATGCCTTCTCATCTTGATTTAAAGAGAATTTTGTGAGATGGAACTCTTTTTCAAACTTGCTTAGTTCTTTTGCTACACCTGATGCTAGCATCTGAAAACATTTCATGGTGCAGCATAAATAGTTATTGCACTCCACTTCGTTCAATATATACTAACAAAGTAAAAGAGACGACTGAACCTTGACGAAGTTCAGAAAATTCATCTTCAGTGTCATTTGCAGAAGTGTCACTATTGAGCACACCGAGTGCAGCCAGGAAAGAAGTAAAATATGATTTTGCTAAAACCAATCCAAGAGCAGCCATGGCAGAAGCAATATTGGATCTCCTCAAAACTAATCTCATTATTTTCTGGCGTACTGGCAGTAGCTGTGCCAGCACATGCTGCTTCAAACATCTTATCTGCAGCATGCAAATGAAGGATATTAATGGCTAGTCCTTAGAGAAAATCAGAGCAGGGACACCTTCAAAACATGGTACGAAATATAATCCAACTCTTAGTGCAAAGGTAACTAATTTTATATCAGAAGATAAAAAGATATGAGAGGCATCAATACTAAATATTGACAATGTACACAGTAACAAAAGAAAAGTTCTTGATTTTGCTCCTTTCTTTGTCCTGCTTCCACAAAATGTGACTCCAAACGTTCAGATGTTTCTTGAATTGCAATTGATTAATTGACTAAATTAATGCTATTTCCAGAAGAAATCGTTGCATACAGTGGAAAGTTTGAAAGTTGAAACTCCAATTCTAGTGATGACAATTGGTATCACTGTTACAGGGTTTCAAGATCCAGAACGTGAGTGGAGATCATGCTCCACATTTACTCCCCCCCAAAAAAATTCAACCTTAAAATCCTTCTTTCAGGCAACTAGAACACTGATTAATGTTGCTGCTTTACAGAGACACTGGAAAACAATAAATGTCAAGCATATAAGAATTTAGTTGATATTAAATCATACCATGACAGTTTGCTTCAAAAGAACATTTAACTCCTCCAAACGTATGCCCTTTGAGAAATCCTACTAGATTGAGTCATTTATTGTATTAGGACAGGCTAAAAAAGACTCAACAGGCAAATCATTTTCTGCTGCAAATCATGCAAGACTTCAAAATCTCAGATATTAAAACATGAGGATGTTAAATACCAGGTATTATTGTGTTTGTTCATTGTACTAGCTCTTGTTGTAGCATAGGATATACTGTACACTACAGGTGGCTAAATAACCTAAACATCTTTTTAGTGATTGTCTTTTTTTCATTTGGCAGAAATTGTTTAAGTAATTATAAAACAGAAAGGAAAAAGACATAAGCCACTCTTTTGAAAGCACTGTTGAGATCATGTTTTAAGGTCAATGACAACACAAGGACAGTTGAAATGATGCTTACATAAAAAAAAACATGATTTTTATGTTACCTGACAACAAAAGATAAAAATCTAATTTATTATGATATGCATGTTCAACAGAGGAGTGCAACCATCCAAATGCTTGTTTCTTTTCCAGGGAGCAGGTGGTGGGGGGTGGAGGATGATGGAATTGGTGATAATATGTTAACATATTAGATTTATGCTATGAATAATAAAAAATCTGAGTTTTATAACAAGGTAAATGAAATTTAACCTAGTTGTGAAGGGTTAGCTGCACCAGTAGTTTTACCAGATAAACAGCAGAACTTATACTCAAGTGAATTTCAAACTGCCTCCTATTAGACAACATTTTGAAATTGTGCAATCTAGCAATCATTAGGGATTCCAAAACCCCAAGAATACAAGCGGGCATCAAACTTTGTAAATCCCGCCTTTAAAATCTGGGCTCAAAATGCCCTAGGAATAGTATATAAGCATCATTTCATATGCCCTTTTACGAATGAAGTAAAATACATAATCACTGACGAAGCAAAAGTATTTCCACTCCAAAGACCAAAAAAACTACCTGAAAAACTTTCCCTTGACAACCATTAACAAGTTTAACAGAGCAGTATGTCTTTGCAAAATCATATTTGGTCTCCCCCAGCAAGCCCGGCCTAGAAAAAGGATGCACAACCAAAGACATGAAAAGAGCATAAACAGAATAATCAGAAGTTAATAATCTAAGAGGTCAGGAGACTTACCATAACATATTTATCTGATGAAAAATGTCGAATGGCCTATTATCACCTAGGACCATATGCACAGGTGAAAAGGGAATCCAATTGGCATAATACACATAATCAAAGCCAACAATAGGCAAGAAATCCTTACGTAGCATTCAATTGTATTGACACATCCATTAACAAGTAATGGAAATTCAAAATTTTGACATAGCAAAAACACAAATGTCAAACAGTTCCATCACAATCTTGATAAGGAGGGAGTCCCGGATAGGAGGATTAAATGCTTAACCTTCATTGCCACGTCAAGCACAGATTTTATCTATCAAATAAAGAAGAAATTAGAATTGATAAGATAATTCACAGGATGCCATGCAACAAAAAGCAAAACATTTTGGACTTGGAGGAGTAACAGAATTAAAGAGCTATTATGCAATTCAATCAGACCAGCACCCACAAACAATTTCTTTCAAATGGATAATATGCATTTCCAAGCATGGACAAGCATTGCAGGAATGCCATAAAATGTCAGGAACTCAAGATAAATCTGAAGAGAAGCATTATCACTTTAACTAATGTACCAAAATTTGGGCCCAGTCATGACTTGGACAGCTAAATTGCGATAATTTGTGGTGTTTATCCCCCTACTTAATAAGATTCTCACTTTGCATAGCTTCCCATCTGATGAGTCGATGAAGATTATTTAAAGGTCAAAAACGGAAGAAGGAAATAGAACTTCAGACATCCTAAATCTAAGCCAAAACGAACATCAAGCTTAATGAACCCATATTATCAACTTGCCTCAATTGCGTACTATCCCAACAGAAAGAGTACCCAAATACAAAAAACAGAAAAGAAAAAAAAATTAATCAACTCCCTTACAACAAATGCTTCATAGCACCAACGACTCCTAAAGGTCATCTTTTACTAAAGAACAACAACAGTTAGTTCTTTCACAAAGAGATGGTTAACAACGTGATCAACTACTGTAGCTAACAAGTAACAACCATGTCACATGGTCAGCTTTCAACGGGTACTACTTGGTAAGTTTGAAAAACATTGAGAAGCAAAGACCAATGCTTCCAGAATATTACCACTTTCGTCCCCAAAGTTTTGCCCCAAACACATTGTATCTTCAAAGTTGCTCAATTAAGGACAATTGACAGAATTCAAAGCAAGATGGATAGAAATAGGTCACTTGAGATGCATGCCCTGATGAGTGAGGTGCTTAACCAAACAAAAGAGGGTAAAATCCCTCATTTCTTCTCTCTCTTTATGAACCAAATCTTAAAAAATTTTGTGGACTATTTTTTATGAACCAAATCTTTATGAACCAAATCTTGATTTGGAACTTTATATAAACAAAATAGGTCTATTTTTCTGCAATTATAAGTCCATTTTCACAAAAGTACGGTTGTAACCTGGCAACAAAACAAGGCCGCCTTCAACTCTTCTTCTGCAAATTCAGTAATGCATCATTCCAAACTTAGCAGCAACTGGTCTCCTTTTACATTTTGATAAGCATGTGTTTTAAGCATGGTTTATTGTTTAGTTTTGGTGCGTTTTAATCATTTTTATAGCTAATTAACTAGGTTCCTAATGAAGTGAGCATTTTGTGGTTCAAATTGTGAAAATTTGCATTTTTATGGATTAGAGCGGTGAAAACTTCATGTTTTTGTTGGTTTATGATTCAATTATCATGCGGAGTGAATTAAGAAGATATTTGGATGATTGTAGATGATTTGAAGTGATTTAAAGTGAACATAAAGTGCAAAACGTGCAAAAAGATGAAATGCAATAAAGTATAAAAGAAGAAAAGTTTGACAATTTTGATATCTTTTGGTATTTTGGTTATATCTTGAGTTACAAGTATCGGATTGAAATTTTTCTTGAGTCATTTTGAAACCAAGATATAGATCTACATTTCTTATGAGACATTGAAATCCATTTCATGAGTTTTCCTAGTCAAAAAGTTGAAATACTATCATGAAATTTTTCTGTCAAAACTGAAATAGGCTATTGACCAGTCAAGGGTATTTTGATCATTTCGCAGTCTACAGAGCTCCAAATTAGATGATTTTGATACATTAGAAAGCTAACTCAAAGGTTACAACTTTTATATTTGTCAAAGAGCTAATTATGCTTTCATCATTGAGAAATTTGCAACTAAAATTGGTCCAAAAACAAAGCAATATTGAAAATTGAGCAAAATAGTGTAAACTTGGAATCAAGAAGATCCATGAGGCAATCTGCCAGGTGTAGCTCATGGATCTAGGGTCGCGGAGGCTCTACAACTTGCATAGCAAGTTATAGACAATTCACACAAGCTTTTTGATCAAATTATCTGCAAGAATTTCGGCTGGATATACACAAGAAAGCATAAAATCTTCAAAAAACACCTTTTGATGCTTTTAAGACACAAATTGCCAACTTGAAACATGATTGCTAGGAGCTTTACTTCTCTATAAATAGGGCCTTTTGTTGAGCTTGTTTGATAACTTTGGAAGGCTAGGAACTACCACAAAAATGTAATTTTCACTAGTTTTTCTTAGTTCATTAGTTTAGTAGTATAGTTTAGTATAGCTATCCAATCTTTGTGTTTAACTAAATAAGGAAGGAGATTAAGAATCAAGATGAAGAGTTTGGAACTCAAGTGATATGGGTGACATTTCTTCTAAAACTTTATTTCTTGATCAAGTTATTTAACACATCTCTTGTTACAATCATGATTAACTTGGTACTTGTAAGGCCCAAAGACAAACTAAGAGAGGGGTGAATTAGGTTATTAAAAAAAAAACAGCAAATAGTTGCAAATATTCACTAATCAAAATTAGCCTAAGTGATCACACATTCAAGCATACAAAATAGTACTCCTTCCGTCCCATTGAAAGTGTCATACTTTCCTTTTTGATTTGTCCCAAAATATATGTCACATACCCAAAATGGAAAACAAAATTTCTCTTGTTTAATTTTTACCCTTCAAGATTTTCTCATTCTTTATTTTTATTGGTGGGTCCCTTGATTTTCATTTGCTATTAACAAAAGTTGCAAGACATTCGTGATATACACACAAGGTTTGACGTGATGTGTGAATATCACTCTCATTGACAGATTGGACTTCTTGTAAGTAGCTTTGGCCCCACATGTCATTTCTACCTCCTTCACCGCTAATGACCACACATTTTTGTTTCTAATATTATTTTGAAGTGGCAAAATCAGAAAACAAAGTTGAAACTTAGTACTATACATAAAAAGTTCAACTTCCAAAGCACGACAAAGTTTTTGGGACAGAGAGTAATAAAGATAAAGCAATTTAACCATAAAATAGAATTAAAAAAAAAAGAGAGAGAAATGCAAACCAAATAAACTTCCAAGGTTTTCCAAACTTGGAGTTGAATCAACTAAGTAACTTTTTCAATTGATGGTGACACTAACCAATTTATATAAGTGAAGGCTCACTCCTTCCTCACCCTAAAATCCTTTAGTTGAGTCAAGGAGTTTTAGAACTCTTCTAGTTAACCCTCAATTAGTTACAATTGAAAACTCACTCAACTAATTAAGAATTACTTACAAGTGAGACTTATCTTATCCAAGGTTTTAATTCTTCTCAATGAGAAACCTCACAAACCCAAGAACTTTCCCCACACCTATACAATATTCAAAGATGTCAATGGATCTCCGATGCGTGCTCTATGTTCTAAATTATTGACAACAAGAAAAGCTATTCAGACATGGAACAAAGAACACATTGGAAACGTGATCGATAATATGCGATCTGCAGAAATGGCGGTGCAACGGGCAGAAGAAGTGGTAGATCAAGATGATTCGGAGGAGTGCCAGATTCAACTCCAAAAGGCTCAGGCGGAGCTAAGATATGCATTATCAATTGAAGAACAATTTTGGAGGCAAAAGGCTAGGGTAAAATGGCTTCGACAAGGAGATACCAATTCAAAGTATTTTCATGCGATAGTAAGACAGAGACGGGCTCAAGCTATGATTTATCGTATCAAAAAAGTCAATGGTGTTTAGGTGGACAATGAAGCTGATATAGCAAGCGAAGCAACCACCTATTTCTCTGAACTTTTCTCGGATTCTTTGGGATCATCTGCAGATATGCTACACCTCATTCCACCTATGATTTCGGGAGAGGATAATGTGAAGTTGGAAGAAATCCCTTCAATTAAAGAGGTTTTTAGAGTCCTGAAGGCAATGGATGAAAAAAGTGCTGCTGGCCTAGATGGATTCACGGGAAAATTTTTTACTTTTGCATGGCAAGTAATCGCCCAAGATGTCTACAAGGCGGTACTCAGTTTTTTCTGTGGAGCAGAGCTACCTCGTTTCATTACCTCTACTTCAATTGTTCTAATTTCAAAAGTGCCAAATCCTCAAGATTTTTCTCAATTTAGACCCATCAGCCTATGTAACTTCTTCAACAAGCTATTATCAAGGATCTTGGCAGACAGAGTGGCGGGAATATTGCCAAAAATTATTTCTCCCCAGCAGACAGGATTTGTGAAGGGTCGGAATATAACCGAAAACTTCCTACTTGCACAGGAGGTGATATCGGGTATGGCGAAAAAGAATAGAGGTGGTAATGTGGTTATGAAACTAGACATGTCTAAGGCATATGACAGAGTGGCATGGGGTCATATTATCAATGTTCTGAGAAGGTTCGGTTTTGGTGAGAGATTCATTGATATGGTTTGGCGACTGATTTCTAATGTCTGGTTTTCCGTCATTATAAATGGATCCTCATACGGTTTTTTCAAGTCTTCGAGAGGACTCCGTCAGGGTGACCCATTATCACCAGCATTATTTATTATAGGGGCAGAGGTGTTATCTAGAGCACTGAATAATCTTGTCATGCAACCAAGATTTGTGAGTTTCAAAGTTTCATATGGATGCCCGTCTATTACTCACTTGGCATTTACGGATGATGTTCTTATATTTGCAAATGGATCCTCATTTTCCCTGAAGGCTATCATGAAAGTGTTAGATGATTATCAAAGATGCTCGGGCCAATTACTAAATGTACAAAAAAGCTGTTATCTAGTTCATCCATCTGTATCAATGGCAAGACGACGGCTGCTTGATCGCATCTCTAGGTTTGCCCGCAAGTCATTTCCAATACGCTATTTAGGGTTTCCGCTCTACATTGGAAGATGCAAATCATCTTATTTTGGAGAAGTTTGTCACGCAATACTAGCAAGGATTCTGTCTTGGAAATCAAGGTTACTTTCCTTTGGAGGAAAAATTATTCTAATCAAGCATGTATTATCATCAATACCAGTTCACCTAATGTCAGCTGCAGTGATTCCCAGTTCGGTGTTTAAAACTATAGAAAAGGCATGCTCGGCATTCCATTTCAGAACAAATGGTCCCAGAAGAAGGAAGTATAGCTGAAGTCATTTGGATGCCCACAACAACTGAAAATTTCTCTCTACATTCGGCTTTTGGGGATATTAGGCAGACCCGACCCACGTCTATGGTATTTGCTTCCATTTGGCACCCTCGGATACCTTTGAAAGTTTCATTTTTCATGTTGAGACTACTTCTGAGGAGAATACCGACACCGGATAAGCTTCGTAAATTTGGTTTCCATTTGCCGTCAAAGTGCTTTTGCTGTACTGAGGCTTCTAAGGAGTCTATTGAGCCTTTATTCTCCAATGGACAAATTGCGTCATTCCTTTGAAATTATTTTGGAGGGTTATGTGGAATAAAATTCTCAGGATCTTTTCTACGAGCACGCATAGTAGATTGGTGGTTGTATTCACAGGATTCTGAGTTACGAAGGCTTATTTTGTGATGCCCCCACTTCTCCCTAAGGCGAACCAAAGGGTATCCGCGGAACGCCTGCCTAACTCTCGCCAGGACTCAAGCAATTCCATTTCAACTTATAGCCTGACCACACAATACAAGCCAATAATTTAGATATAATAAATACGGAAGCGTTCAAGCTTAATAATCGTCATCCATTATTCAATCCACACGTCGGTATACAAAATACATTTCGCCCCAAAAGTTACATTTCTATACCCAAAAGTACAATCCAAAACCAAAGGCATAACCAAGAGTAATAGCAAACCCTAAACAAAAGTACATCAGGAGGGTTTCTCCATTTCACCTCCGAATTCACACCTGTTAAGGAAAAGAAATCTACAGGGTGAGCAAAAACGCTCGTGAGGCCAAGAACACACATGCAGACACGTAGTCCAGATAACAACCAAATAACAATTCAAGTAATAGCTTGCAAGTAATTAATAATGCCAACAAAATGTAACCAGAAACAATTCAAGGATATGGAAGCTCTCAGGAGCTAAGTTCCACATTTTGCCGATGTCATTTGTATATCTCCCCGTGATGACTCTCCGTCAACCGGGTTGATATTTCCATATCCGTAGTTCACCACTTACTTCTCATCCGTCCACCATACACCGCTTCGGGCCCGCACGACACTTATAAGGCGATACTTCACGAGTATGCCAAGCGAGATCTCTCAAATAGATCAAGCTTATCATGTAATTCTCATGACTCACCAAGGTTCCCAACCAGGCCCATGCCGGCTCGAGTTCCAAGGTCGGCCTATGAGTTTGGGCGTTCCCCATGTATCATGTAAATGTCGAGGAGATTCACTCCATCGACGTATGCAATCATAGCATACCATGTCATATATTCAAGCATTTGACAGGTTTAAACATGTATTTCAGGTCATATAAAGCATGTCAGGCATGAGTCATTTGTTTCAAATGAGGACGAGTGCGATTAAGTATACACTCGACTCCATTTTTTTTCAAAATCAGATAGGCTAAACATGTAATCAGGTAAGTCAAGCATGAATCAAGTCTTTAGAGTTCAAGTAGGCATGCACTTGACACTCACCAGTTATGCAAGCAAGTAGGTTGGAGGGAGAGTTCAAACTTCCACAGTAGGGTCCTCTTGGAGGTTCTCGTGTGTGCCTGAATATCGAATATTAGATAATTACTATAGGTCCCCAAGTGGTGAGAAAGATTGGACACGAGTAAGGTTCGGAAATATTTGAAAACTTCGTTTGACCTGTCTTTGAAGTTGGATTCTCAAAAGGGTGCAGGACTCGAGTAAAATCGGATTATTATCCTTGGAATCATTGGTTGGAAACGAGTATGAACGAAACGATTGCAAAACAAACGATCGAAATCGGAAGTGGACTGGCCACGTCACAATCTGGCCGGATTGGAGGCAGTGGATAACCTCCTTTTTTTTCAAATTTCACCACCAATCCGGCCGATAATCCGGTCAGAAACTGGCCGGATTCAAGGCCGGATTCTGGTAGAATAGTTCCCACGCGGATTTCCTTTGAAATTTCAGAATTTTTCGATTTTTGGTCAAATTTTTGAAAAATCATAACTTCTTTTCTACTAGTCAAAAATTGATAAACTTGGTACCGTTGGAATCGTCTTTGAAAGTACTAAAAGTTCCTAGAAGACACTGTTCCACGAATCTAAATGGAAGGTATTCAAAAATGAGCCTAAAGTTGCTGTTCTAGATTACCAGGATTGAGCCGGGGTTGGTTTTTCGCTAACTTTGGAAATTCGGCAAAAATCACTCGTTGCAAACCGGCCCTTGAAACTTATAACTCAATTAGAAGTACAAGTAAAGTTTTGGACAGAACAAGCGGCTCAAGAATCGGAGTTTCGAGCACCAAGATATGGTAGCTCAAAGTTGGGAAAAATTCAAGACTGTTACAAAATTTCCAGATTTGGTTCCGACTTTGGACCTTTTATTAAGTGTCGAAACGGACTTGGATTGACACCAAATTTTGCAGTATAATACTCCCATATGAAGGGTATCTCTCTATCAAATTTCATGGAAAAATACCCTCGGAAAGGTGGTTAATCAATCAACCAAAATTTGGAAAAATCCTTAAGGCAATCTGTCCAAATCTAAGATTTTCAAAAACGAGGCAGTCGCCATATTATGATCATAACTCCCTCATTTTAACTCAGAATTGGGAATGGTTGATAGCGTTAGAAACTACATTCACAGGGTTAAAATTTCACAGAAGAAATCGTTTTAAGTTTCAGCATGCAACTGGTTCGAAATTAAGCCTAAAGTTGCAGCATCATCAAATCATTTCGGCAGAATGGAGAAACAGGACAGCTGAATTCAGATGAATGGTGCGGTTCACACACATGGAACCAGAATGTGCATTATTCACCGTTGGAAACATGGGAATGTCTAGTTTCAAATGCCGCTAACGGCACTCGATTTCGACGTCGGAGTACGGAGTTATGGACGAAACACGAACACTGGTCTGGTTACGACGGCAACCGTTTCCAGATTACTAGCTTTGGAAAATAAATTCTTTTGATCAACCAAAACTCAATATTTTTCAACGAAATTTTGTACACAACTTCTACAACATGTAAACAACACAATCAAGCCATTAAATCCTCAAATATCTGCAGTAAAGTGGCCGAACAAACAGGGGCAAAATGGTCAAACTTGGCCATTGCACTCAACGTGAGTTTCCAGCAGTTTTCCTTCAACAAATCACTAACTTACACACTGATCCGATATCATAAACTTCATCAAGCACAAAATCAGCAACAACCCAAGAGTGGGAATTCATAGAGCCCACTTTTTTTTCCAACAATACAAGCTACTAAAGTGAAGATTTCAGCTCAAATGCATAAATCAACATCCATAAGACAAGTTTAAGGTAGTTGATCATTACCTACTTTGATGGTTGTTCAAATCAGAAAATTTCGGTCCCTTTGAAGCCTGAAGAAAACCGTGAAGCTCCTCCCTTTTTCAGCTTAAAGTGTTGTCCAAGTGTAGAGTTAAGTGTAGGTGAAATTTGGTTGAATTTGGTGGAGGTTTGATGGTGATTTTATTGAGCTTTGTAGAGGAGATGGTGAAAAGCTTTCGGTTGTTTCTCTGCAGCTACTAGCCGACCCTGAAGCTTGAAGAAATGAAATGTGGTTCTGATTCCTTTGCGTACAAATGAAGCTTGCCGTCTAATATTTTAAGTACGTCAAATCAATTACAACTAGTGCCCTACGCGCGCGTTTTGTGTTCGATTTCTCTTACGTTTGTTGCACTAGTGCACTAAACCTCTAGGGCACTTACATTCATATAAATATTATTCATTCTTAATTGTCCCAAAATAATGGTCCAAAGTCCCTCAATTAAGCGCGCACGTGAAAACACGTATTTCTAATTTAGGCGCAATAAAATTGAAACCTTTGAGAAATTCTTATAACGATCGTACCACTAGCTATTACTTGTGTGTTTAAACCTAAAATTGTCTATTTTAGGACCATTGTATAGGTCTCAAATTTTTGAGCTTATTGTACTCCCAATTGACTAAAGTGTTTAGACACGTTTTCACTTTTTCGCTAAACAAACTTATAAGAAAATATTTGTTTATTTATCTATATTTTTATTTTATTTATTTTTAAAATGAGACACTTTAGAAATATAACGAAACTATAAAACCATGTACTTAGGTCTGAAAAGGCTAGAAAATATTATTCGTGGCAAAAATCCAAATAGATAATTAATTGAGCCAAAATTAGGGGTTTAAAAATAATAATTTTATGAGTTCTCGCATGAATTGAGTATTAGTTCCTCAATTAACCTTTCTTAATCTATTATTGATCATTCTTAATTCTCTAATATTAATACACTCCCGATTCAAGTATAGCCTAGAAAACGTGCACCCGTCATTCCGGACTAAACAAATTTTCGAAAAGCGAATTTTCCAACAAAACGCTTTAAAAATATAAAGAGGCGTCGTTCCATATAAATGGATTTAAAATGGTCGAAATAAATAATTCGGAGAAAATGAGTGAATAATCATTTAAATATTCCAGTAATATTCTATAAAAATAAGAACATTTTCGGGTCCTCACATCCTTTCCTCCTTGAAAGGAATTTCGTCCTCGAAATTCATACTTAGAATAATATCATTCCCTTCATGGTTAAGCTTATTAGATCAATCATTGACTTACGTTTTCTAACTCACTCCAAATCATGAGTTGATTACTTTCTCCCGAGAGATTTTAACTTTCGGAAGGCATATATAATCACCTCATTATATATTATTAATATACATTCTGAACCATCCTTTGAACCATCTGTATAAATTACAAAATCACCTCATCCGCTCAGTAAAGCCAACACAAGTGCACTGGTTAAACGATTTTCACCTTCAAATTCTTCCTCACATTTAGAATCTCAAATAACTTGTCAAGTCTCGGATCCTTAGAAGTCCCTGATCAAACTAAGGTAATATTCGACTACCTCTAAGAACTCCAAATTTCGGTAGGATTTTCTAGTTATTTCCTCTTAAATAGCTTCCACTTAAGCTGAGTTAACAGCAATTTCTTCCTTAGATATTATATAACTTAGAAAGGCTATTTCTTCCCATCGAACTCACATTTATTGAACTTAACAAAAGTTAGCGTTCTCTCGGGGTTTGTAAAACTACCATCAGGTATTTTTTCATGATCTTCTCAAACTTTAGGGTATATCAATACATCATCAATAAATGCCATCACAGATTAATCCTATTACGATTTAAAACATTGATACATTAATGCAATAATTGTTGCTAATACATTAGTCAACCCAATTGGCATAACTGAAAAATTCAAGCATCCCCATCTTGAATTGGAAATGGTTTTAAGCACATCTATTTCTAGGATTCCCGGTTGGTAGTAATTCTACTTTAAATCCCTTATTCGCTGCTCCTGACTCTTGATTATAATTCTCGTTTATGTGAGGCTATGGAATATTTGTTCTTAATAGTCTCATCGTTCAAATCTCAATAATCTATGTATATATAGTCTCAAGCGTCCATTCCAAATATAACATCCAGTCCTTAATCGTTAGACTCATTCAAGCCATCAAATATTTCCTTTCACTCACCCAAATCTCACAAATTTTAATATCTCAAATTGGCGATCAAACATTGGATCCCATCTTCAACCCTAAGTTCTCGACTTTTTTTTTTTTCTCTTCCCAGAATTCAACCAATTTAGTTTGGAATTCCAACTCCTTGTGAAGAACTTCTATTTCTATACACATCTCTTCCAAACTTTTCATTCATCCATTTTCTTAATCCTAACTGTTAGCCTATCAACAGTTCAAGCATCTAAATAAGTAGCAAATCAGAATTTGAAGCTCAACTATCCACAACCTGTAAATTCTCACGCACCTAAGTCATCCAGGTATATTTACTCTTCCCTCTCCTCGAATGATACTTAAGAAAATCCACATGTAGACACCAAATTTTGGTGTAATTTCATTTACTATTTATTTTTTAGTCTGTGTTCGTTTTTTTCACTTTTTAGTTTTTAGTTTTTTAGTTTTTTGTGTTATTATTATTATTTTTAAGTTTTTAGCATAGAGTTGCTAGAGAGAAAAAGGAAAACATTCAAAAAAAATATATTCTAGTCATTTTTTCTTTTATTTAATGCTTTCTTGATAAAAAAAAATGATGATGAAAATCATGGAAAAAGGGGAAAGAAAGAAAAAAGAAAAGGAAAAAAAAGGAAAAATGAGGAAAATTTGAAAAATGGACATTTTTGTTGTTTTTATTTGTTTAGTTTGTTTTTTTTATTTGTTTTCATTATTATTATTATTACATGGTTTTGTCATTTTGTTATTTTTGTTTTATTATTTATATTATGTATTTATTTTTTAAAAAAAAAAAAAGACCAACGCGCAGCATGCAAGCTGCGTTTTTGCCGCAGCTTGCAAGTGAACTTTGGGGAGCTCCTTAGTTGCAAATATAGCAAAAGATCCTGGAGTTTTAGGGTTGGAGGTTGCCCATATAAAAGCCAAGGGAGAGGAAGCAGCCGCAAGGAGAGGTTTTTTGGAGAGGGAGTGAACGGATAAGAAAAAACAAAGAAACGAGAGAAAGAGGGCTGGAGTTGGCTGCTGAATGAAAAGAAGGGCTGAGAGAGAGTGAAAGAGAGACAGCCGCAAGGGAGTTTTTTCAAGTGACGGCTGCCAAACTTAAGGAAAAACAGAGGAAGGAAATAGAGGAGCTGGGTTTCGGGCAGACGAAGGAGAAGAAATAAGAAAAGGGGGGAGAAAGATTGAGAGGGGTAACGGCTGGGGTTTTAGGGAAACAAAAAAACGCAGCTTTTGAGATAGAGAGAAGTGTGGGGGAACGGCTGATGAAGGTGGGGCGGCTAGAGAAAAAAGACAGCTTTGAGGGAGTGGCTAGAAAAGAGACGGACGGCTGCATAGAGGACAGAGAGCTTCTGACGGGCTAGAAAGAAAGGGTTTTGAGAGCAAAAAGGCAACTAGAGGAAAGGGGAGAGTCGGAGAAGAAAGCAAGGAAAACCAATCGAGGGGGGGAAGCTACGGCTAAAAACTGAAAAACAAAGAAAGATGCGAGAGGAGAGGATAACAGGATAGTGAACGTTGGCGGCTGTGAGGGAAGAAAAGAACTAGAAGGCTACGGGAGTTCCTGGGGGCTGAAGGAAAAAACACGGAGAAGGCAAACTTCGGGCTGGCAAGAAAGAATGAACAAGTGAACGAGAGGAGAAACCAACAAGGGGAGTGAAGGGAAGCTTTGGATCGAACAGAAAAGAAGGAACAAAGCTGCTACTCAAGTTTTTGCCGCTGAGATCCATCAGAAAAATAGCATTGTAAGGTTTCTTTTCTTTCCCTGTAGATGATTTTATTAATAAACCATGAAGCTATGCTGAACTATGAATCGATGAAGATGGTTAAGAGTTCCGACGATGGTTTACGATTATCGCTCAAAGATGTCGTCTTTTTCACTGTTATGGTATAATGGGTATGATAAAGTCTAAAATTTGTTTGGTATAGATTATATTTCATCCCTAGTCTATAGTTCGGTAGCAAGATCCCAGCTTTGGAAAGAAAAGACATCTACATGGCCCGTATGTTTAAATTGTTTGGATAAATTGTCTCGGTCTGCTTGGATGTGGGAGTATTGTCTTGGTTGTTGCTGGAATTTTTAGTTGGATTGAAATCTGGGATTTGTCGCTCAGTTCATACACCATATGCATACCCAAACTAAAATTCTAATATTCGGCCTGTGTTGATGAAATAATAAGAGAGTTATAGCAGTTTTTGTTTTTTTCTTTTCTGCATTTTTCCAGAATTTTCGTATGATATCTTTCCAAGTTTCTGGTCATTGGGATTATGATCATCATGAAGTTTTGTTGCTCAGTTTAAAGTTGTGATGTTGAGATGAAGAATATCTAGTCAAAGCTGTGCATTTGTATCAAAATCTGGTCTTCATGATGAAAATGAAAAGGAAATGCCGCGGCTGAAAAATTGCAGAATGCTGCAGAGAAAATTTTCCAGATTTGCATGCTCTCTTTCCTTGAATTGTTGTGTTTACACATAAGAGTTTTATGATTAAAAAGTGGAAAGAATGTTTGGTAATCTTGTTCCTTCAGTCCAAACCTTTGTTGTCTAAGTTGTTCCTTGCGTTTAAACTGCATCAGAAAACCTGAAAGTTGCAATAAAAGAAAACGCAGCATAGCTTCAGCCGAGTTGCATGAGCTTTTGGGGGTGTTTTTCTGCCCTTTTTGTTGCATGTTCAGCTGTGTTGTGTTAATCAAAGTATTTAGATGTTAAATGGTGATTGAGTGAGGGTCTTTGCTGGCTTTTGTTTGAAGTCTTCTATGAAACCTGCAGTTGAGAGTTTAAAGTTGCAAAAAGGAAAAATTCTGGATGAATGTTGCAGCAGAAAATTTGCTTCATCATTTTTGCAGGCTTCTTTTGTTTGATTGATTGTTTTGTTGCATTATAAAGTGGGTAGATCAAGTGGTGTTTTGTTATTTTGTGCGAACTGCATTTGTTTTAGTCTAAAAGCCTAAGGAAGTTCACAAATACAAAATGGAAAAGGCAGCCGGCTTCATTTTTGGTTGCAGAAATTTGAGTTTTCACGTAGCTTGCA